AGTACAATCTGTGTTCAGATATTAGATGCACTTTCTTCTAAGCCTCTATTAACAACTCAACTCGAGAAAGTTCAGATTCTCTTTAAGCCATATCCTTCACTGCTGTGTTGAATATACAGAGAAATGGGGATGGATTTGCATCTGCAGAGAACATTCAAGGTTCATATGAGCTGAAGGAGCATGTTGATTAGCCACGGCCGTGAAGTGCCATCATGTTGGATTATTCTTTTTCACAGAATTGAGGGAACAACTTTAAGTGATGGCAAATTGATTAACTGCCCTTAATGTTACATTTATAAATGTTCCTCCTTTGAGTTTACTTGATATTTTCTTGCAGGCCAATGGTTTAAACTTATTTCCCCAAAGTTAGAACTGCAGCTGTGCCACCAAAACAGCCGCTCGGGAAAAGGTGAATCTCACTGACAAAACAATGAAGCCATACTGGGAGCAGAGGATCCTTTTTTTTTTTTAAATTAAACCCCCTTCAGCAGTAACAACAATTTAAAAAAAAAGAAAATCCAGGAAATATAGCATCCCAAAGTATTTATCCTAATACAATCTTTTTCTGTAATACATGTAATACTCCTCAATACTGTAATACTGCTGTTAACCTGGTTTCCTAGGAAAACGAATCTTATGTGATTGCTCTGCCTGTTAGCCTATCTTTCTTCCTCTGATAATTGTTGAAACCCTTGGACATTTCGAATAGATGTGTTGGAGGGTTAGTGATTTCAAAGATTTGAATTTCCTGTAAGTTTCAAGAAAGTCAATAGCCGTGTGTAGAGATGTAAGTGAGTGTCACTAGTGATGGAAAATCTTTAGTGCAAAGTCAGGGTCGTTTATTTTATTTTATTTGGTTTTCAGTTATGAATGGTAAGCACAAGTACAAGTGCAGCTTGCAACTAACTCCCCATGTGCTGTCTCTTGACTAGGATATGAATACACAGATGAGGTAGTGGAAGTGCAGCTAGCTCTGTACCTCTCCAGTGATACTTGCCAAGGGTGGGAGAGAGACTGGGGCATTCACTGGGCTGTGATATGAAGCCACCCTAATTTTTCTCATACTTGTTAAAGTGAGAGCAAGATGACTCTCACCTACCTTTTAATTCATTTCGTCTCATCACCATCCAGCCCCTCACACCCTTTCCTGACTCATTCCCCAGAGCCAGAACACGTTCTTGAACTCATAGGTCTCGAGCTGATGCAGAATGTTGTAGTTTGATCTCTGATTCAATTACTCCTGTTTCCCTACTCACATTTTTTTCTTTTAATTGTTTGGCAAGTTTTCTATTAAACATCACTTGAACACCTGACCCCAAGGTTCAGGATATCTTCTGACACAGATCTGAAACAACCAGCCAGTTCCTGGTGGCTCTTTAATTCTCAGTAGCCGGAGAACTGAAATTGCAGTGTAATGTAGCAGAGCTTATCCAACACCAGGGACATATTCAGTCTGCTTCCCTCTTCTTTTTCTAGTAGGATGTCTGCTGGTAATACCTGGATATCTGAGGCCATTAACATGGTATCCTTTAGCACTTTAGCTAAAGAATAGAGCAGCTCATTCTTATTGGCAATGAGCCAAAAGAAATTGCTCTTGCTACCAAAAGCATCCTGAAGTGTGTGGGAACAATTGGTGCAAAGTACCTTTAGCCTATTAAGTCCTCGGGATCTGAAAACGCTCTTGGCTTATTCACTTAGTAGTTAATTATGATTGATGATAATAATTGATGTGATTAGAGCAGCAGCTTGCAGGGTGTTTTGTAACACACACTCAGCTCTTTCAAAGGACATCATTAATAAACAAAAGTGGCCTGGAATTCTTAAATTAATATTACTTCTACCAAAGACAAATAAATCAAAGCTAAAATTTTAATTTTAAATCAGAAGGCCGACAAGGTTAGTAGCAGAAGTTAATTTTTGTAAGTGATGGATCCAAATCTTTGGCCAAATCTTCTTATGGTACTGACAAAGGATCCAGGGTATTTTATGGCCCTTATTATGCATGTGAGCATTCAGAATGACACAAACTGACAGTCGGTGGAGGGTGATTATTGTCAAAGTTTCAAACAGTGAAGGAGATATTTATGGAAGATGACACAAGGTATTCACCTCCAGTACTCCTGGATGTTTGCATTTAGAGAAGCGCTTGAAGCTCATCACGGGTTGCTTGCCATCCAACAGAATCGGCTAGGGGCATAAGGGGTAAGCAACATGAAAACGCTCAAGTCTGTTGGGTTCAGATACTGACTGCAGGCTCAGGCCTTTCATCTTGCAGGCTCAGGCCTTTCAAGAGGGCCTTGAGACAGTAATCGTGACAGTAAAACTTCTCATTAGCCAGATGAGTCATGAGTCATTGCTCGGTTTTTTTTTTGTTGTTGTTGGGGTTTTCTCTCTTTCTCTCTTTCTTTCTCTCTTTCTCATTCCTTTTTTTTCCTAGAGTCTTCACTGCATCCTCAGCTCTGGCACTCACTGGACCCCTTGGAAGCCAATCTACTTTATTAACCTGGCAAAAAAACTAATGCAGCCGAAAGCCAGACACCAAAAAGGAACTCTTTTTTGCTGGGCTAGCAAATGGAATCAAATCAGAGAAGAGTCTGGTAGGAACTCTCATAAAAGTATATAAAAGGATGCAAAAGGAGGAGTGGGCAAATGACTGGGAAGAGGGAGAGGGAGCAGAGGAAGGAGCAGCAGAGAAGGAAGAGAGAGCGAGACCTGTCCTTTTCGGCCACGGGGGTCCCTGAACTAGCTGGGTTACCCGTGAAACCTGCCTCGGGCTCTCCGTGGCCATCTGTTCAAGTGAGAGCCATGGACAGCTGGGCATCTAGCTTCAGCCTTCAGAGTAGCTGACCAGCCTTCCAGACTATATTTGCCAGCCCCGTTACTTCTGTGTGTCCGGTCACTTTGGGTCCTGATGTACAACTCTGTTTTGAAATTCAGTTGTAAAGTGCAACAACAGAGAATACCTTCTTCTAACAGAATTATTGTGTGTACAGAGCAGGCAGAGTTTAAACAACAAAAGCCTATACAAATATTCTCTTATTTAAGCTTAGCATTTTACTCACGCAAGGTAATAGGGCCCTGTGTCTGAGGGAAGCCTCTCAGGCTCCTCAGCAAGAAAATGGCTGCATGGGAGATGCAAGCGCAGAGCTAAAGGGAATAAAGCTTCAGAGATCATATATTTTTGTCTTTAACAACTCCGGCTAAGGGCGCAGCCTCAAATCATGTCTTTGCTGCTCCTTAGCAAGTTGCTGCATGCCAGCAGAGCTGTGGTGCACATGGCTGTCAACGTGCACCTTCTTGAGCCACAGCAAATGCAATAGGATAAAACTTACTTTAGAATTATCTAAGAGCATGTTGAGTTAAGGCATCCTGTTCCATATATGCTATGGGCTATGATCATGCTCATGGACAAATCAGGTAAGACTTGGTAACCTGTCAAGCTGCAGTAACCAGCCCGTGAGCGTCAGTCTTGAGACTGCCCATGGAGGTCACACCTCAATGGGCTGCAATGAGCTTTCATTCTCATACAACTATTTTCCTCTTAAATATTCTTAAACAAAAAAAAGATGATTTATAAGAAACAAGATGCTTATAAATACTAAAGGGAAAAATTGGACTATGGACACAGTTCATTTGCAGCCGGTGACTTCTGCTGTCACTAACAGCAGAGAGCACACAATCTTAGGTGGTCGTTTTGATATTTAGAGTTTCTACCGAGAAGAGATGGAAATTAAGTGTTCAAATCTTCTTGCTACTTCATGGCTGCCAAAGGTTACGTTTATTTTAAAACTGTAATCGCACAGACAAATGTAAAGCAGCTCTTGGTACACACAGACTTAAGACAGCTGCAGAACATCATTACAGCCCATATGGCTGTAAAATTTGTTGCAAAATATCCTTAGGCGCACTTCAGTCATTAAACTGTCATCTTGGCATTTTGTATATTGATTGAGTAGGGCAGCCAAACTCTCTTCTCTTCTCCTTTCTCTTCTTAAAGTTCTTTTTACATCAAAACTTTCATTTATAGCAGTCTACAAGCAGAGATCAGGAGAGAACTTGTCTGACTAGCTGGGTATTTTGCTTCATCAGTAAGTTATGGGCTTTAGGAAAACAGTTTGATGAAAGGATACTTCATCTGGCACAGAGAGCACAGGAAATATGCCATTCAGGTTAAATTAAGACATCAAACAAACCTTGTTATCTGGATAACATGCAAACTCAGGGCTCTGCAGTAATTAAATCTCTCTCTGGGCTTTTCCACAAAAGAAATGTTAACCCTGGTTTCTCTCAACTCCAGATTGTACCTATCTATCTAAATTAAGTTTCATGTTGTACCTGCCAGTTTCAGATCCATGCAACATCCATCCTCTTTTCCAGCAGTAATGTATATGCAGTTTCACTGAATGTATTTGAGCTACTGGCGCATTGCATTTGGCCCCAGAGGGCACCAAGAATGGTGCAAAGCCCAGGGGAAGCGTCCGAGCAAAACGGGAACCTCGGGCCCCAGGGGGAGGCGCTGTGCTGCCCAGCAGGGAGGTGCGCGATACCTTACAGCAGTCGATTTCAGTGTCTGTGTGGGAGGAAGAAGGAGAAAGAAGTAACGCAACAGCCTGTACACCCAGGAAGAACATACATCGAAGTACCAATTCTTTCTGTGAGAAAACAGAAGGAAGCTGTTTGTTTTTTTGAGGGAAAGCACTGTCTGACTGCTGCATGCGTGGAGAAAAAAATGCTAACACAACTTCTATGTGGGGGCCAGGATGCCGCTGTAACAAACACCATGTTAAGTGCCTGGGAAGGCAGATGTCGAGGAGCGTGAGAGACTGCCGTTGCTCTATTTAATGAGCTGTGTAAATCTGGAAAATCTAACATTTCTGGCTTGATCTGCATTATAGACCAGTTCTGCCTTAGAAAACATTGTCCTATCAATTCTCATGCAATCAAGGAAGAAGCAAAGGCTGTGGTGTCCCATTGAATAGAAAGACATTAAAATGAGGATCATGATCAGGAATACCATTACACCAGGGCCTTTTGTTTTTGACAGGAGAGACACTTCCCTTCCTCCTCGTCCTGGAAATGGGGTCCACCAGCTTGAGGAGCGGTTATCCAGGCAGGAAAGGACCACGGCTCTTCTCCTCGACCAGGCTTCCCGGATCAAGGATGAGCTGGTCTCCTACCTCCGAGGACCTCGAGGGGACCAGCAAGGGGAGGTGGCTGCCCGGCAGCTGCTGGAAAGTCACTTCCAGGCCATTGTGGGTGCAGTTAAGCAGCTGCGGCAGGACGTTGAGGTAGGCCAACCCTCCCAGCATCCACACCCTGCTCCACACCCGCAGCAGCGGCAGGAAGGCACTTAGCATCAGCCTGGTGCTTCAGCTATCCATGGGTATGAAGGAATCATCTCTCTCTCCCCCCCTCATTATACAGCAGTACTTGTAGCTCCATATAAAAACAGACGAGAGGGGACTAGGGAAAATAAAGTAAAATAAAATAAAAAGCAGATTAATGAGGTTTTTTTCCTCCTTTTAATTGAAAGGTTCAGATTCTATTTGCTGTCACGTCTGTTGAAGTGCAGAAGATTCCGTTTGAGGAAAATAAGAAATAAACTGCATTTTCATGTAACAGCAAGCCCCAAATTTGATTTTACTTCTTACTTTTCTAGACACAGATGTTCTAGTACTTTGCATAACTTCTGTATGCAACATAACAAATATTGCTGAAACTCTTCACTAAGCTCAATTCAGACTAGAATGAAGGTTCTGGTCATTTCTTACCTTTTTTTTCTTTTTTTTTAACTGATTGGTGGTTCTGTGTATATTGGAAATGCATGAGAGTCTCTTTTCTCAGCTAAAGAGCCTTGATTATTTGCTGTTATTGTGGGACAGACAGCAAATTTACCAACACTTTGGGGCTTTTCTTTGGAAAAGGGTGCAAAATATAAAAATAGCATGAAACAAAATTCTCATAAGATTTGTTTTATCCTTTGAAGTGCTAAATGTTTGCCTAATGCAACTAAGTTCACAATACTTTTTTTTCCCCTGTGCTTGGAAAAATATTTGAGCTTCTATGTATTTGTCTGAACAGTCATGAAATCATGGCTCACCTGAAATTAATCTGAATAAAAATTGGGGTGTGTGCTCATTTTACACTGATTTTATTTTCAACATTTTGATACTACCGTGATGAGCAACACTTTAAAACCACCTGGTTATTTTAGATTATCTAATTCCTCTAACCCTATCCGGATCAAGTATGTATAGGCCTGTTTTACTAGAAAAAAAAACACCTGAGATGCTATCAACTCTGTGAATCTAGACTTTTTCCTTGGTTAGAAGTTACTCTTCTTTAAGTCCTAATCTCAGCTCCATGTTTGCTTTGTACTTTCTGGTTGTGGGGATTTGAAGGGGATGAAGCACCGACAGCACAGACTACAGCACAGCTGAGACCTGGCAATCAAAGTCACTAAAGAATTAGAGAAGGTCTGAGAATTACTCCTGGCACAGAAAAAAAAAAATAGTGTGGTTGAGCAGCTGACATTTTTTGAGCATTTAAATTAAAAAAAAAACTCTTTGTATTTTTCAGGAGCTATATTTAAATTTTAAACACAAGACAATGGCATTTTCACACAAAGACTGAAAACTGTTAAAAATCGTCCGGAAATAATAAGGATCAAGCCTGCTGTCACATTCTGTCAGCTCGCTCAGTGCAGGAATTTGGAGATGGTGGTAGCAACTCTGATTAAAGTTGCACTGAGGTGATAAATACAAACTTCTGCTGTGTGCATTAGTGGTTCAATTTGGCTTCCAGCTTTTCTGCTGTCCCAGCTCCCCAGGAGACCACGACAGCAGAGCCAAGTGCTGCTGGCCACCTCGGGGCAGATGGCGTTTTCAGCACCGCTGCCCTTGCAGGGCTACAACCTCAGCACCTACACTGGAAAAAGCCAAGGTCTTCACAGAAGGGCATTGGCACCTAACAGGTCCCCTTGGTGCTGGGTGCTTGGTCAGCTCCCTGGGAAAGGCGCAACCGTGTCCTTCTCCGTGGACATGCTCCTCTGCAGCCCTTGCTGCCCGCAGAGCTCATTTCAGGCAGCTGTAGCTCAGTCCTCCCCAGGCGCTGCATGTTCTCCCTGATCCATGTTTCCCTCTGGGGCACAAAATACCACTTCAGCTGTAAACTCTCCATGGCAAGGGCCACCCGTCTGTTCTCCATATATACCACACTAAGTGCAATGAGGGTCTCACCGGAGGCTGGAAATTAAGGATACTGCATCGAGGTGAATCAGGTTCATAGTGTGAAATGTTAAATTATCCCTTGGGAAATGCGAGTCACTTCAAAATCCTTCCAAAAGTGGAAGGAGTATTCTTTAAAAAAGCCTACTTCAAGAAAGACTCTGGCATACTGCTGCCCTCAGGAGTGAAGCTGAGCATGAGGAAATAGATCTATCTGACAGAGCCATGAAGTTGTTCTGGGTTGCTGCTGCTCAGAAACATGAAGACAAAGCAATTAGTGACAGGTGGAAAACAAAAAAAACACTGAAGATGACATCACTCATGATTCAACTATAAAACTGGAAATCGCAGGAGAAAAACATAGATATTAAAAACATGGGGGCAGAGGGGAAATTATTTAAGTGCTTAACATTCCCTCTCCAATAATAATTATAAAATAATCATATGTCAGTTAAAGGACTGAACGCAAACTAACGATTGAATATGACAAGCAAGATTTTGTGCGTGTGTATCTCTTTCGCCCAGCACAGGTGAGTGCTGGGAAGATGATGTTGCCAGGTGCCTGGGGAATCAGCCGGAGAACTAGAATATCGATTTCTCTCGGTAAACAGGAGGCTGCTGCCTTCCATCTTAATGAAAGAGCGTCTCATGCCGCTTCTGCCAGCGAGAGAGCAGTTGTCGTTCATGCTGCGGTTCTATCTTTGTGGATTTATTGCATCACATTTGCATTGTCAAATACATTGCAAATGAGTCATTTGAGTTGTGCAGTACATTCAGCCCTCTGAGGATATTATTTTCCAACAAAGAACAAAAGTAGGAATGCCTGGTCACAGCTTAGTATTTCAAATACCAGTGCTCGCTGTGCAGATGGACCAGAATTATTCAGACGTAACTACATAAATGACAGCTTTTAGTTAGACTTTACTCCAGAATTATTACAGCCTTTTCTGCTCTCCTATGCCCCACATCTGGCAAATGCTAGAGCATCTCCTTTGGCTGAAGAAGTGGGACGGTGATGATCCGAGCGGCCTCTGTGGTAGGGACATAGGTGAACGTACGTGGCGACTGTGCACACTTGCACAGAGGGAAGGAGGTTGGGGGAGGAGGAAGAGGATGAGTCCTTCGATGACTAGTCAATGACTAGCTGATATACTGAAGATGCAGTGAAATGATTAATCAGGCTCATAATTATATTCTAGATGCCCTCATGCTGTGAAGAGATCATGTAATGTAATCTGTTCTCAGACTGTGCAACAACTTTACTGATCTGGAATTACCCTATCAAGGACAGCATGTTTGAGAAATTCCTGACAAATCTGAAAGGAAGCAAATTTCAAGACTTTCTAATTTCATGAA